GGATGTCCGCGAGTTGAACAGTGAAATCATAACGCCTCTCACTGAAATAAAACATGTCTCCACTCCGCGGAATTGTTAAGACGCCCGTCACCCGGCGTCAATCTCACTTAATCTAATTTATAATTAAATGTTATTTGTTACTGATTAGTGTGTTCTTAATAACCGTTTATTTCAGACTCCTCTCTCCAAACCAGGTTAGCATCTCTAAAGAACCTCGCCCCTCTGCCATTTGTAGAGTGGGCTAGTCGCGCTTATTGCCGTTGCTCTTTAAAGCAAAAATTTGACTCTAACGTAATTTGTTCGTGTGGCGCGTTAATCCGCGCCTGGCGCCCAACTATAAGTTTCGCGATAATTACTAAGATCTATAAAATAGAGCAACGAGGTTTGACACGCTTACCGGCGGGTGTACTTCTGCCCGACGGAAAAGTCGTCGCACAACTTACAGAGACGATTACTTGGTGGCAAGGCCCTTTATGGCTTATGCACGAATCCCAACAATGGCCTTTCTTTTCTCAAGAAGAATTAAGTGGAGAACAACTTGAAGAACGACCAATCAAAGTCACAACTGCTTTAACTCAATCTTCACAACCATGGAATTTACTATATCGATATTCAAGCCACAATAAACTACTGCGGGTTACCGCCACATGTCTTCGCGCAGTGGCACGTTTTAAGAACCCGAAAGAGCCATCAATTCACTTTCCGATAACTCCTACAGAATTAAAACTTGCTAAGATTTTCTGGATAAGAACAGTACAACGCTTTGCCTTTTCACAAGAATTAAAACTTTTGTCGGAGGGTAAGTTACTACCAAAATCTAACCCTCTAATTAGACTTACACCATTTATAGATTCATTGGGCATTCTACGCTTAAGCGGACGTCTTCAGTCATCTGACTTACCTATTGATGTTAAGCATCCTGCGATTTTACCCAAGAATTCTGGATTAACATCGCTTGTTATTACCGATGCTCATCTGAGATCACTCCACGGAGGAACACAATTTACTGCCGCATTTACTCGCGAAGAGTACTGGATTATTGGAGGAAAAGCCTCCGTTAGAACTCACATATTTCAGTGTGTAAGATGCACTAGATTTAGACAGAAGAGAGCACAGCAGTTAATGGGGCAACTTCCATCTGATAGAGTCTTACCTTTAAGGCCCTTTCAACATACAGGGGTGGACTATACAGGTCTCTTCGTCATTAAGACTTGGAGAGGAAAGAACGCTCGTAATTACAAAGCCTACGTAGCTCTTTTTGTTTGCTTCACTACTTCCGCTCTTCATCTTGAATTGGTTACCGATTACACTGCAGATGCATTTATATCTGCATATAAGAGATTCTCTGGACGACGAGGAATCTGTGCTACACTCACCAGTGACTGTGGTACCAACCTAAAGGGAGCAGATGCCGAACTGCAACGTTTGTTTTCTGCCGCATCCGAAGAATCTCAATACCTGGCGACCTTATTGGCAAAGGACGGAACTTTATGGAAATATAATCCTCCTTCAACGCCTCATTTCGGAGGCAAATGGGAAGCTGGCGTTAAGTCAATGAAGTATCACCTCAAGAGAATCATGGGAGATACCCTCCTCACTTACGAAGAAATGAATACACTGTTGATTCAAGTTGAAGCTGTCCTTAATTCTCGCCCTCTGTGTCCATTGACGGATGATCCTGAAGATCTTACTGCTCTAACACCTGGTCATTTCCTTATGGGATGCTCTCCAACTGTTTTACCTGAGCCCTCACTTGAAATCGAGAAGTCTTCACGACTGTCTAGATGGCAATTACTACGGAAGATGTTGGACTCTTTATGGTCAAGATGGTCAAAAGAATACTTGCAACGCTATCAGTCCATTTATAAATGGAATCAACCAGAGACTCCTATAGTAGAGGGTTCCATGGTCCTAGTTGTCGATGAGAGATATCCTCCCGCCAAATGGCCTTTGGGTCGTGTTATAAAGGTCTATCCTGGTCCAGACGGACTAACACGAGTTGTCACTGTCAAAACACAAACTTCTGAATTAAAGAGACCTATCACAAAGCTTTGTCTTCTTCCGATCGATAGAGATCTTACTCATTCGTTCGTTAACAACGGTTAACGAAGGCGGGCGGAATGTTTGAAAAGTAGCGCTCGCGCTCTAATATCATAAAAAGACGAGAGGCGGCCGTCCGCGAGCGGCGCTCGCGAGGCTCTTGCCGAGCTTGCAGGAAGAGAGGTGGGGATACGTAGACAATAGAAAAGTGATCGCGGTCGATGCTCGCTTAATACGCATCCTTCCTTTCTTTTTGAGATTTCTACGTATCCGCGACAAGATCAAGTTCAGTTGTACTATGTACAGTGTACAACCGTGTTTCTTTGCATTATTGTTAGAAAGTTGCAACGCCATAAAGGCGTATCGTTACGTGTGCCGTAGGGTACATGCTGTTCTTTGCTGTAAATAAACGGTAGTTACATCGCCATTAGGGCGATGCTGTTCGTCTTTTTTCAAGTGACTAAGATATTGTATTCGCGCATCTTATTGCGCTCATTAAGCAATCTGTTACATATTCCCTTCGGGGCGTATGCTGTTCTACGCTATTCTTAGCGTTTGTCACCTCAATCTTGAGGAGCATGCAGTCTGTCGCAAATTAAGCGACTCACGTGCCATTGCTGCACGTACTGTTTTTACGTCAGTTCAAGGGTCCGTTACGACGCCATAGTGGCTTACGGCCCTTCGCAAGATAGACAGTTACATCGCCTTTCGGGGCGCATGTTGTTCTTCTCTATTTTTTAGAGACCTGAAAACCAAAGAAAGATACCTCGTCATTGGGACACGTAATTACTACAATAGAGGCGATGCCATATCCATGTACAGGAACGAGTCTAGATGACTAAGAGAGGAACGAATAATTGGATTATTCGTGAGTTATTCGTGAGTTATTTTATAACAACATTGAAGTCCAGACTCAATTGTAAATTGCGTCTTTCCTATTATATTTCCTTATGGTGAGTTAATATAATTCCATTTATAATTACTGTCTTGAGAACGAGTATGCGAATATCGATTACGAATATTCTAGTGAATATTATACTCAAAAACATTCATATTACTGTTGTTCGATTTGATATTCAATTAAGTCTTCCTTGATGATATATATATTGTATCTTTTGCAACGTTACTCTATCATTTAACTTCTATGTTTATGTGAGAAACCTGAGACTCATGATGAGTTTATGCTTAAGCTTATATCTCATCTACGTTTTTTTTTGTATTTTGATTTTATTACTTGTGACGTATTTTGCCTGAATTGTTAGATAATAGACTTAGATAATAGACCTGCACTGATCTTTTTGGATTTGTTGAAAGACTTTCTTTTTCTAAAATGTTCAGTTGATGGATTGGTTTTCTTACTGCAAGTTAAAATAAATACAATTAATCAAATAAATAAAAATTACTTTTATGAAATACATTTGTTTACCTTAATCTGATTCCGATGACACATTTTGAGTATATTTATTTTCCTTGTTATGTAAATATTTTTCTAAAATTTTACATTTTTGCTTTTCAATTTCTAATATTTCAGCACGTAATATTTTTTTTTCTTTTAATTTGTTTTCTGCCATCTCGCGTCGCTGTTGAAGCTCTTGCTCTTTAAATGCAAGTTGTTTTTTCAATTTTATCAGTTCTTTTTGTTTTCCATAAAAGTAGCAT